CCCCCTTACGCGTCATCTTTCCCCTCGTTGTTGTTGTCATCATTGAGGGGGCCCGAACCCAACCAATCTAGCTTCTTCGCATCCTCCGGTCCCGTTATGCTCGCGTTGTGCCTGAAACCAATGCCGCAGGGTGCCCATTGAGGGATGTAGTCAGGGTACTGTCCGAACGTAGCGTTCGCCTTCCCGAGTCTCTCAGTGACGATTTTCGCGGCGCGGACGATGGATCGTCGATGATCGAAGGAGCGATGCATGACCGCGACGAGTGTGGGCTTCGCCACGAGGTTCACGAAGTAGAAAGCCTCGTAGTGGTTGCGCGGATCGTCTCTCGTCATGCGCATTATCCACATGCACGCCGCCAACAACAGCCTGAAGCAGTCAGCCACCGGACAAAGACGATCGTGCGAGATGAACTCGCCGTCGATGAGCGCCCCCATTTGCACCGCCGCGTGGAATGCATGCGTGACGCAGATGACGGTGGACTCCTGGTGCGCCGCCATGTCGTCATCGTCCGGTTTGTCCTCGATGTTGGCGCCGGCGAACCACAGTGGCAGGTCCATGGACAAATCTATCGTGTGCGCGCAAACCGCCGGACTGACGGCGTCGCACCACTCCTCGCCGTACCACATAGCACGCGCAATGTCCGTGGCAAAGGATTCCAACGAGTACTGGAAAACCACATGGTATCCCCTTGGGCGGTTCCCGGACTTGAATACCCAACCGTGCAAGATGCGCAGAGCAACGTTCTCCACTGCCACCGCACGGGAGATCGCTTGTTGCAACTGTGATTGGTCGACGATCCTGCCTACGCGTGTGCTGGATTTGGGCAGTACGACGCTCCGAGGGACAGTAGGCGGCGGAAGTCCGCTGGCGATGGCGACAAAGTACTCTCTCGTATCGTGGACGATATTGTACAGTCTTTGCCCCTCCCCCGTTGTCCATAAAGCTTTGTCATTGACCCAAAGGACGACACGATCGATGAGGTATTTTGTCATCACTCCCCTACGTACCCGGCTTGAACCGGGCTCGCCGGCCTCCCGATCGCCTTTCTTCTCACCACGTGCCTCCTCTCTCGCCGTCGCCACAACTGCTGCCTCCTCCCTCGCCGTTGCAGTGGGGGCCACAGTGCCTGAACCACCCGCCCCTGCAGCACCTGCCGCCTCGGCCCCAATTGCGTGCGCATCTGCCACGACTTCCCCTCCGCTGCTGTGTTGGACGGACCCTCCATCACCACCCTCGTTGCGCTGACGTGGCTGAGACGGCGTGGCGGGCAACCTACCCGAGACTGGCCTTTCGTTTACAGCAGCGCGTGCCGTCACCGCCGGCGGTGGGGTCGCCGTTGTACGAGTGCGCATGCGACGTCTATCCAAGGGCTCGTCATCCTCACCGCCAAGATCGACGACGACAACCTTCTTTGTCCGCGTTTTGCGGCCACACAGCTGCTGCGCCTTGGGTGGAGGGGTCAACATCCTCTTCGAAGCGGTGTGATGAAAAGAGCGCTGCCGACCGCTCTCCCGTACTTCAGACGTGGTCGCCTCTGCCTGCTCCTTCTCCGTCGTAAATTCTTCGTCGTAGTCCCCTTCCACGGGTGCCGCCCATCCTTGCGCTCCACGAAGAGGCATCCTTGCTGACGCATCTTCTGAACGCACCCTCTTCGCTTTCGGGGCCTGCCGCCGACCTCTTCCCTGCCCTTGGCTGTCGTCAGGGACTACGTCGCGCTTCTTCCCACGGGTGTTCCCTCGCGTAGACATGTTTCGTGGCGACCTCTGCAAGCGAGCTTGGTAGTGTGATCGAATGAGCGGGAAGTGTGGCCAACCTGGCGAGAAATATGTCTCCCGGAAATATGTCTCCCATGAAATATGTCTCCTGTGCAGCTGTGGCGTGATGACGACGACGTGCACGTGGTAGACAAAAGATCTCTCTTCCACGGGAAGAAGACGTGACGACGACGGATACCCCCACGATGCAGAAGAACTGTTCTCTGCGGGAAGAAGACGACGACGTGCACGTGGTAGACAGAAGGACGACGACCCCGACGAGAGTACTCCGCGGTGAAAAGACTGGTGGCGAGAAGAATAGAAGAGCGACGATCACAGCGATCTGCGGCGAGATGATTGACGGGCGACGTCGGCGTGGTGGACAGAAGGATGCGCGCATTCCGAAGATCGCCCACAAGACGAGATGGCTAGAATGGCGTCGGCGGTGGTCGTCCAAGGAACTGAAGATGTCCGCGCGGAGCGGGCGATATTTATCCGCGGCGAGAAGGCTTGTACCGCTTCCACGTCGTTGCGGTCGGTGTGCAGCAGGCACGACGGGCTTCTGTACTGGAGACACCTTCGTGCGGACGACATACAGGCGGGTTGGGATGCGCAGGGTTTAAGTACTCTCTCGCAGATGGACCTCCCGCGACGTCGCTTCTCTATGGCGGAAAACGACATCGTCGACGGTGGCACGTGCGAATGCCTTGCCCACACTGGCGTGTCATTTGGATCCTCCCGAAGGCGCGAAAAGACTGTTTGACGTCCCTGGTGATGCGTGTCAATTCACTCGCCAGGGACCGAACCCCTGGCCACCCCATCGCATCTCCCCCTCGCAGCCCCA